GTCGATGTCCACAGTCCATTCATAAAAATCCATTCATACACACCATCAAAAAAAGACTTATTGAAATTTCTTATCGCAATATTTCTCAGTAAAATCAATCGGTTTGGTGATAGCCAACACAGTAGTAAATTTTTCGTTTCTGATTTCGAAATGAATTGATCACTTTTTAACCAATCTTGAGGCGTAGCGTCAAGTTACAATCAATTAAAAGACTTTAAAGTTCAAGTAGTTTGCTCGATGAACTCTAATGATCTTATTTTCTTGGAATTTCGGGGCAGTTTCAAAGTTCATAGTGATAATGATACTTTTGCAACCTACAGCGTGCAGGTCAGTTGATTTGTAGATGAAAATTTTGTGTATCAGTAAGTCCAGAATTTCGGTATTCATTCAATATTCATAGTAAAAAAACTGTCGGGTGATATCAGCACGAAGATTAACGAAGTATCAGGTAACCTGTGCGAGATAAATGATCATTAGCTAAGATCACACTATTTGTTTGGAAACGATCTCCCTTTTTCAGTTTACCACATTCGAGGGTCGATATGTTGAAGAATGAAGATTTCTGAATCGCAATAATGTGATTTGTTTTGTGTCACGATATTTTTATCTGCTCATGAGCCGTTGCATATATGGATTTGCACTGACACCTTTAGATAGAAGACCCATCTGATGCAGTTCCTCATCTTCGTAGAATTGGAAGTAGCACTGAAGGCTTCTGGCTCGTAACCGCGCGTAGTTGATAATCTCGATTGTATCCTGAATTAAGCAACAACAAGTCGAGAGTGATGAGCAGATGTAGTTGATGATATAATGGTGATTGTCAGTAAAAGCGTCAACGAAGGACGATTGTCGACGTTCACTGGTTGCGTGTTCGTTCGTTTAACGTTGTCAAACCTGAATAATTAATTAAGTCTCACTCACTACTATGTGATATTTTATGATCCAAATCACACTTTCTCAGTTTCAATCATAATCTATCGGCGTTCCCTTCATTACAGGAACATAAGGTCAACTATTGTATATTTACATCGATAATAAATACAAGCATATATTCACGTTTATTTATTTATTTATTTATTTATTTATTTATTTATTCACTTATTTATTTATTTATATGTATTTTAGTTGCGTTATTATTTTCGCATACTTCCATTGTTTTGATTTGGTCACATTTAACATTTACCTAATAAATGATGGCATGATATTAATAATTGTGAATGAATGAGTAAGTGAATTTAGCGATGGATGTTGGTGAGGAAAAAATCGTGTTACCAATCAAACAATACGTTTCGAAACATCATTGGGATGAGCAGTAAGGAAAAAATTTTTGATCATAATGATGAAAAAATAAGAATTTTAAACCTAAATAATGTATTAATTGTGACAGTAAAACTGAGAATCATTAACAATGAAATTACAGTAGCGAAGACACAGATATTTAAAACAGTAACAACGATGGAAATGATCATTTCAAAGTAGCTATAGTAATCACTGACAACGAACAATCGTTGTGGAACCGGTGATAACGGCAGTCCCTAAAAACACTTTTCAGCATTAACTCTCATAAGTGCAATCTCATAGAATGATGAGAAAGTATCAAATGTCAAACCTTCGAACTCAATGGTAGCCTAATGTCTCTTTTTGAGTGCATTCATGAATTCCACATGGGAAGTTACAAATCTCAAACCTCCTTCCGGTTGCAAAAATCCATTCAACTTTGACGGCGCTTCACGTAATCCTCCTAATTCATTATACGCCGTACATGAGCAAAACATCGATCCTCTTTATGCAGTATCATATGGCAATTCAGCTTGGAAGATACGCCTTCGTGGGAATATTTTATTTCGTTGTTGTAGATAGGATTGCTTGCAATCCTAAGAGGCAATACGGTGTTTCGCCTCACGATACATTTTCAATGGACGTGTTCTTACGCTAGAATAAGCGGCGGCCGCGAAGAGTTTCATTGTATGCCTAATCTTGAATGTGCTATTAATTTAATTATTCACGGATAGAATTTTCTAATCTTAAAAACTGATCGATCCAGCCGAATCTGCTATTTAATTCTCTCCTGCAATTTTCTTTGTACGGATGTTTTCTGACGGTTTCTTGATGTACTTTCGAAGCATTCATGATAATGCCACCAGAGCCATCATCTAATATTCGGTCATCGTCTCCATTCAGGCAACTGTCTACTTGGATAAAACTACCGATGTTCCATCGAATTTCACATTTATCATTGCTTGAGGTTTCACAACGCATACATAGGCCAGCTTCAAATTACTTCATACATAAAATATTTCAATACCGAAACAGTGCATTGACGCTTTCGTTCACATCTGGCATTTCTTTCGTATTGTACACTGTACAACCCTATTGCACAAGGATCTAAAAATTACATGATAATCGCGCACCTACAGGATGTCCC